GCAGGAGGAGGAGGTGACATTGTGCTTGGAGCCAGAGCCGGCCACACTGACTCCACCCACGTACCAACAAGGGGATGCCTCAGGAGGCAGTAGTCCAGGGCAACCGCCAGCAGAGCCAATCACAGAGCGGAAGGCCTCCGATGTCAGCATGGGTCTCATTCAGACGCTAGAGGAGAAGGAAGAAGAGGAGATGGAGGAGGAGAAAGGGCCGGTCGCTTCCATGGCAACCAACTGAGTTTCTGGCCGTTTAAGACACTCATTATCACAAACTGACCAAAGTGAGCGTCGGCCAGGAATGAACATAACAATACAATATATATCTTTTAATCTGTTCCTTTTCAGGTACCATGAACACGAGACAAATGATTAAAAATGGGGAGAAACAGATTTGGAAGTGGTGTCATGAACTGATGCAACAAAGGACCCCTGTTTCTTTGACAGCCTTACATCCCAAAGGTTAAAGAGGAGAAAGAGAAGGAGAGAGGAAGTAGGAACTGAAGAGAGGAAGGAGGAGGAGGAGGAGTAGGAGGAGGAGGAGGAGGACCATCAACAGACAGACTTTTCCTTCAGAGGAGTGAGACCTCGCTGCATGCATGCTTTTATGATGACGAGCGACTCCACCCCGCCTTCATCAGTGATAAAGAAAAATCTAAGATGAGTAAAAAAAAAAAAAATAAGAAGAAGAATTTTGTAATAAAGAAAATAAGGAAAAGTCAATGTATAAGATTAACACAACAGTTTTCCTACAGGAGAACATCTTTGTTTACAGCTGTTCCTCCACACACAGTATTACACAGTGGTCAACCAAATCCATTTCCTGGTTCTGTCCCACACACACACACACACACACACGGTGTCCTTTCACATTAAAACTCATGTGGAATTAAATGAGGTCGAGGGAATTCCAGAATATTTTGGTGAAATGCAGTGAAACCCTGTGTGTGACGCTGCTGCACCAGGAGGCCTGAGGCACAACCCAGGGACTGTCCTGTCCCGTCCCGTCCAGTCCCAGCGATGGTACACACTGAACATGCATATAGGGATTGTACTGTAAAGATATGTGTGCTTCCTACTCCCTCTCTTTGTATGCATGTTTCCTCACCATACTATGGAGTACCTGTACTATACCACTCTGTTTGGACTTTGCACTGAACCGTAGTATGCGGGGGGGTCAGGTGTGGTCCGAGGGGGGGGCCACAGTGGACCTACGATTGAGCACGAGCTGAGAGGAGAAAGAAAGAAGAAGAAGAAAACAACAGAGCTGCATTAACAATTCTCTTTTGCACTGATGCGACCCAGCAGATCAGAGGTCGCCTTTGAACTGTTGACGACCCCTCAGTCCCTGAACGCTCTCAGAGCCACGGGTCAACGCTGACCCACTGTTGCTTCTTCTCCACTCACGTGGGTGTGATCGATCGACCTGTCGTGAATGTACGGGGGGACAAACTTCTTCTCAACGTTCTCAAACTGAGGGGCGCAGAACAAATGTCTAGAAAGTTCTGTGACTGCCTGCTCACTGATTGGACACTGCACTTAAACACACACACACACACACGCTGTCACGTCACATCCGTTTGACCTTCCTTCAGCCTTGAGATGCAAACCTTGAGCAGAACAGCTCCGTCCCTGACTTTTCCTTTCGTTTGACTTCATTTTTGCTGACGCTGATTAAAAAAAAAACAAAAAACTTTATAACTGACAATTTTGCTGACGCTGATTAAAAAAAAAACTTTATAACTGACAAAAAAAATACAAATATAAATATCTAAATTGTAACCAGCAATAGTCAGTCAGGCAGAACACTGATGTCTCCACAGACCTGTGTCAGCTCTGTGACATCGATGTAAATAGTATAAAGTGAGTCATCTCTTGCAGTTTAAAGGACGATTCCTTTATTTTTTTAAAACATCCTCTCAGAAAAAAAACTACTATTATTTAAAAATGCTTGACTTTTCTGTTTTTGCACACACAAAAAAAACAAACTAAAAAAATTTAGAATCGTCCGTGTTGTTAATTATAGTGACGCTATTAAAGAATCTTTAAGTACAGCAGGAGGTCAGAGGTCATGGGGGAACATGTGGCCTGCCAATCAGGGATTAGAACAAGGCTTGGGCTGAGCAGGTCAGTGTCTTCCTGTTCGTCGTGACTCCTGTGAAGCACCAGCCTGGACTGAGAGAGTGATGACACTGACATCTGAGGAAAATGTTTTGGTTTTGGTTTTTGTTCGTTAAACCGAGAAGGAACGGAAAACGGAGGAGAGCGGACGAAGACAGAGGGACGTTGGACTTCTGTGCATGTTTCACCAAACGACTTCACGACAAAAACATTTTTGGGTCGCGGACGTTATCAGACGTCCTGTCACTTTGATGATTTTGTGAGAAACTTTTTTCTGGTTTTCTGACTTGAATGGATTTATTTGTCGATTGCTTCTTTATGCAACGTTCGGGGACAATGTTTATTTTTCTACTAACTTTGTTGGAATCCCCTCCAGTATGAGTTAGAATAGGTGTCACGTCTGTAAAGCAGCCTTGTGTTGATGTGGTTTTGAGCACTTTACAAACAGAATTACAGCTCGGACACCCAGGAGAGACCGGCAGCTCCAAATAATAATCATTTTGTAACACTTCAGTAATCCTGTCTTGGACCAATAAATGAACCAACTAAGAGGGCTCAAAACTGCAAACAGAATGTCTTTACACTGGCATATATTCATTTATTTATTGAACAATTACTTGGGGAGGGACTAACGGGACGCCTTGTACAGTCTTTAGTTTCACGTCGGTACCGTTCTACAGTACTAACCCTAAAGGGAGCAGTAACTTTTCAGCAAGATCCTCGGTCTGTGGCGGGAAGACCTCTGCTTTAAACGAGACAACGTTAAAGATTATTTGGCTTTTTCTTCCCGAGAGAAAGAAAAACCTGCGTGGACTTGATGACAGCAGAAAAGACACTGCTTCACTTCAGGGTTGTTGTTTTTGTTTTTTTCCTCTTTGTTCTACTTTGATTTATCAGAGTTTCAATGAATGAACAAACAAGAAGCCAAATATATTTCTGTGGATGTTAAGGTTTTCTGATCACATCCTGTTTAAGCAACTGGTTTTGCAGTTGTGTTGCTCCTTTTGTATGATTCCACTGCCATCGTCCCAGGGTTACACTGACTCGTCTGCAGGCATGATGCTCAAACTCTGCTTCTGGTCCTTCGCCTTTTCTCCTCGTCGCTCTTGATCTCTTTGTATTGGTGTCTGTCCTCACGTCAGTCTGTCAGTAAAATGTTCTGCTGTCTTATTGGAAGAATCACTGCCGGAGAAAAAAAAAAAAAAAACTACAACAATAACGACTACGTTTTCACACCAACCAAAAGGGATTTGAACCAGTCACTTGCAAAGAGAAAAAAAACAATTGCAGCTGTAAAAATGCTATGAATTAGACAAGCGTGTGTGAAGTTGTTTGTTTGGAGCGAGGCAGTGAGGCTTGTGGACCCGGTGGAATCTCTTCACACTCACATCTATGCATGCGTGTTGGGCGGCTGTCACAGGAAGGTTCCTCCGTGTGGTTTCCCCTCCCTCACTTCCGACTTCCACCTCATTTCCTCCCGTCTCTCCTTCCTCCCCCACATGTTCCTCCTGCACGTCAGGACAAAGTCCACGCCACCGACTCCTCCTTACCCGCCTCCTTTTCCTCCAGTGGAGAGAGAAAGAAAATAAACAATTACTACAAACAACGTTCCCGGTGTCACTGAGTCTTTCTACATTTGACACTGGTCTTCTACAGCAGCGGCTCAGAATTGTTTTTACGCCGTCTTCATTTCTTTATTCTTTATTAACTCAACTTTACCTCCAGTTTAGTTTCTGTTTAGTCGTCGGTGAAAGGTCATAGGTCGACAAAAAATAAACACTACTTTCAACGTCAGTGACCAGGCTCGGAACGATAGAAAATCTAGGATTAAGATTATTATTTCAAATGGACTTGTTTTCAAACTCCATACAGTTACTGTCTGGGATCAAACAGGTGACCTTCTCACTGTAAGGCAACGCCACTCGTCAGATGTTCACACCCCCAGATGGCAAAAAAAAAACCCCAAAACTATTATTACACAAAATTTAAGAATTCTAATGATCCAAAGATTTTCGACCCTCATCATAAAAGTCGTTTTTTTTAGATTTTAGTTTCAGATTCACGTCATGTCCGATGTGTGTGTTTTTGTGTCTGTGGGAGGGAAACTCAGCTCTGGTCGTATCAGTGTGAGGACGAGCAGCGTGATATCATGCTCTGGGCAACACCGAGGACTTGGCGAGCAGAACTTTGTTTCTGCGATCTCCAGCCAACACGGCCCGGTCCTCGGAGAGCACCGTGGTTCCAGCTGGAACCAGAGCCCGGAGCGTCAGCGCTTGGTGTATGAAACTGGTGGAAATGAGAAGTTACTGCAGTCGACTGTACAAACAAGGCTTTGAAAAAAACAGGAACTGTCCCTTTAGTCCCATCGGTCTCAGCTGCTAAAAAACGCTGACATGTATAATTATTATTTTTTTATTGTTGTGAAGAATTTAAATAAGAGCTCAGACAGAATGAACATTTAATTACAATAAGTTAGAATAAATAAAAGTGATCATTTAAAAGAAGTCATTAATTAATCAGTAAACTTTAAATGCATGATCTCATCATCCTGAAGTCAAATCATCGTCTTTTTATGATAAATTATTATTATCATACATCCCATTGGTTTCATTAAAGATCAAACATCAGTACAATGTCATAGAGTTACATTCATTTGTTCAGTGGTTCCCAAAGTGGGGAGCGGGTCCTTCGTAGAGGGCGCTTTAATTTCAATGTTTTCTTCATTAACATCAAAGTGGGAAAATTGAACTGATTCATAATTTGATGTTAATTTTCAAAAAAAATCAGTTTCACAGGAACAACAGGAACTACAAAAGGGTGGAGCGAGGGGGGGGGGGCAGCAGAGAGACTTTGGAACCACTGTGTTGTTCTAAGATATGGACTGACAGTGAACGTGAACCCTGCAGGACAGTTCGTCCCACTGCAGTTCAGAAGACAAAGGAAGGAACCTGAGTGTGAAAAAGTGAGATTGTCGTCAGCATAGAAAAAATAACCTGGACTAGAAGTTTTCAGGAACTCGCTGTGCACCTGCTTGTCCTGCTCACTGAGAGCTGAAAGTCGCTGAAGGCCGCAGGTCAGCCCTCCTCCTCCTCCTCCTGCTGCTCCTCCTCCACCGAGACAGCAGCCTTGTCTCTCTGATAAGAGGAGCGTCATCAGCAAAGAGTTTTCTCCTAAACCCGGTCCCTAAATTGGTTCGTCTGACTCCTCACTCTCGCCGTCGCCGTGCAGCGAGGACAGCGTGAAGACAGGGCCCGTGTGTGACACAGGGGAGGGCGGAGGTGAGGAGGTAGGGGGGGCTACAGGAGGAGATACGGGGTCCTGAGAAGGAGCCGCGTCGACGTCCCCCGTGGACGCACAGCTGCCACTCTCGATTGTGTCTTTGCTCGGTAAGGTGGGAGAAACATCGCCCCCTGTGGCCTCTCTGGAAGACGACGCTTTCCCTCTTCCCTCCTCTTTGGACTCCCTCCTCCCTGGATCCCCCTCGTGCCGACTCCCCTCCCCCCACATGTCTTTGTCTCGAGTGGGGGAGGACGGAGTCGAGGACGGAGGCTGATGTTTCTTGGCCTTCCTGCTGGCATCTCTAAAGCTGGCGAAAGGGGGGCGGAGCCTCACCCCGCTACGCGTTGAGCCTTCGATAGCCTTCTGTAGCTGTAGGAGACGATGACAGGGATTAGACAGAAATATACAGCATGAACACAGCTAGTTAATAATGACAGATTAATTAATTTCCCCTTAGGGATCAATAAAGTATCTATCGATCAATCATGTCTAAGGACAAAGATTTAACCCTTTAAGGCTAACACGGAAAGTTAAAAAAAGGGAAAGGAACTCTTTCCACTTCCTGTTGTTTCATATATTGACAGTTAACCAGGTCAACCAGACCAGACCAGTTTGACCAGTTTAACCAGGGCAGATCAATGGTGATGGTCCAGAGTTTCTGGGCAGAAATGGGACTTTTTTTTTTCAATGTCAGTTGATGAGGTTCACAGACCATGTCAGTTGGTTGGTCAGTGGATTTGGTCACAGTTTGTCTGGAGATCATTTGGTTTTAAAAATAAAAATCGTGATAAAATCGTATCGTGAACCAAACGGTTGTGACTCAGATCTGACTGTGAGTTGACTGAACTGTAGATGACGTGACATCATTACAGCCGATCAATAAGTTGATGTTATGTTTATGTCACCGTTGTAACCGCCGTCAGGGTCAGAGTTAAAGGATGCTGGGACAACCGTACGCCTCAGAGCACGCCGTGGTTACACAACCGGACGACAACGTGCCGCGGTCACGGCGCTCCGCTGTAGCGGCAGAGCTGATCCAGAGGAAGAGGAGAGATTGAAAAAACATTACCTCCTTCAGAGCCACCACGCCCACCAGCTTCCCAATGCTGGTGACGTAGGCGTGACTGAGGCCCAGCAGAGAGAAGAGGGTGTGGGTCTGTGGGGGACAGAGACAGAGTCAGTGAGCGCGCTCAGTCGGCCTGGCTGCACGGACTCACGGTTGACGTTCCTCCACAGCATGAGTACTACACAGTACTACAACATTCACCACATATAAATACTCATATACTGTGTGCAGTACACAGCAGTACATCACATTTTTGGAATTAACCGTGAAATTCAGGCCTGAACTGCTGAGGTTCTAGTATTGAAGCAATGGTTCTCAAAGTAGGGGGCGGGTCACCTGCCATGGAGGTAAATTAGTTTCAAATTTGATATTTTTGTCATTTGTAATTTGATTTTCTTTGTTTAATGAAAATAGTACCTTTGTAGGAATTATTGTATTTTTTGTGTAGCTCTTCAAAAGGGGGGAGTGGGGGGCTAGAGGGTGAGGGGTGCCTACCAGGACAAATCTACTTTGCAAACTTTCCCCTTTTGGCCAAATAGAAAAAAAGTGAGTAAAAAAAAAACATCATTTCCTTCCAAATTATTCTCTCTATCCTAGGATTTGCAGTACAGAGTACATGATTTGCAGTACAGAGTACATGATTTGCAGTACAGAGTACACACACACACGTGACCAGGACGTGTGAGTGATGAAGTGTGTACGTACACATGTGACGTGTCACTCACCTTGTGCAGAGATGTTCGTTCCACCAGCTGGAACGGGGAGGGGTCCACACGTATCTGCTCCATATTGATTGGTTTGTCCAGCTCTGCCTCGTCCCAGGCTTTGATCTGTGCCGGCCAATCACAAGAGAGTTAGACAGACCCTGTGTTTGTGGAATATCTTATCATTAATTTGATTTAATTATTTCCTCCTGGCTGTTTCCGTCAATGATGAATTCCTAAGATGGCAGTACCTCCTCTGGTGTCATGGTGTCGATCAGTACAGGGGGCGCTGTCTCCTGAGGAAACAGAGGGAGATCATATTAGTCACCATGATGCCCCCTGGTGGTTTCATCATGCTGCATTTTTCAAGCTTTTTCTTTTTCATATTCAGGATCACGGCTCACTGGACCAGCAGGTCACATGGTCCACATGGTCCACATGGTCCACACTACCAGGTCAGAGTGATAAGATAATGATGAATGTGTGTGAGAGAGAAAACCTGAGGTTCGGTCTGGCTCGGTGAAGATGTTGAGGAGAAGAGTCTCTGGAAGGTTCTCCTGACGGACGTCAGCTTTCGTTTTTCTGCAGATATAAAACGACAGCAGACAGAGTCGGTGAGTGACGTCTGGAGGGACAACGTCTCCAGACACACCCTGTCACCGCAGAGTCACCTGAGTCTGTGTGGTTGGTCGAGGGTTCTGGGGGTTGTGGGAACGGGATTGGCCCGTTGCACTCCTCCTGAACCGGAACGGTCTGAGGAGACAGTTAGAGCGGGAGTGAAGCTGTGATGTCACAGACGTCAGACGGCCTACAGCCGGTCAGGGTGTGTGTCTACGTCACCTTGTCTGAGCTCTCGTCTCCCACTTCCTCGTCAACGAAGGCGAAGGACTCCCAGATCATCTTAGAACCTGCGTCTGGTGAACTTTGACCTTTTTCAAAGACCCTCCGCTCCGGTGAGAGCCACCAGTCAAAGAGAGCCTGAAGTTCTGTCCTTTCAATGGAGCCCAGAAGAATCATGGACTCTGCAACAGAAAAAACAAAGAAAAAAAAAACTCAATCTATCAACTCGATTTGTACTAGTGATGTCCAAATTATTGATCAAATGAGATATCACAATATTTCATTTCACAATATCGTAGTAATATTCTCTTGTCACTGTATGGATTTTTTTAAATTTGATTTCTTTTCTAGTGATACAAAGTATATCGCAATATATCGTATCGTTGCCCCTGTATCGTGATACGTATCACATCACCAGATACACACCCCTACTCTGCACCAGCTTCTAGACTATCTTTATAACGCTCAAAACATCATAACCAATGTAATGTAACATGAAACCATACCTCATACAACAATATTGTTTGTGTTTTAATTTAATGTAACACACACTCAGGCTCTCTGATTAAAACCCGTCACCGTGGCGTCTCTGCTCCTACCTTTAGAGTCGACCAGTGGGATGGTTTTCAGCGTGGTGTTCTCCAGCAGATGGTTCAGCTCTCGATAGGTGGACTGAGAAGACAAGAACTTGACTTTGCGCACCATGATGTCTTCCACGAAGATGTTGTACTTGCTGGGGGTTTCAGAGAAGATCAAACGTCTATCATCTGTCCCAGAAGACGGACGTCAACGACACAAACGAAACACGACGGGCGACCTTTACCTGATGTGCCCGAGGGCCAGCTCAGGCAGGTAGGGCAGCTTCTTCACCTGAATGATGGAGTCGTACAGGGACGGCTGCAGACCCTGGGCCACCATGTTGGCCAGGATGACCGCCACCATCATGGGTAAGATGTGGGAGAGTTGACCCGTCAGTTCGAAGCAGATC